TGAAAGAATGAGGGCTGGTAAAGATTCGTAATGTGCTGTAATCTCAGTCGTAGAGATATATGCACTAAAATAGCAGTGTACACATGCATTTGGTTGTTTCGCATAAGCATGAAGGAATAACTGCTCAACTAATAGTGCTGATAAAGAACAAACTATTAACTAACTGTTAAAATGACGTGAAATGCATGTAACTCTGCAGACTTTCAATTGCAATAAACTTGAAGAACATTTGTTGCTATAAGCCCGGTTCTTTCTAGATTGCTGAAGTAATGGATCCTCCATATATGCTCCGTCTTTCGAGCACGCTATTGTGGTTAAATATAAGTTGATTATAAGTTATATCGCGGTTCTATCAAATGCGAAGTTAGAAGATAGTAATTTATGATTAGTCTACTTTTGTCACCACTATAACAACGGCTTAAACTGTGTTATAATTTCTAAAAACGGCTAGCTAGCAAAATAGTGATCGCCAAAAAATGACTGATTTTGCCATGACTCTGCGAAAAGGATACTCAACCCCAATGTTGTGTCTTGCTGAGCTAGAAATCGATTACGAAATGTCTGTCTCTGAACCAGAACGAAAGCTTGGATGACGCCTGCCACTGCACCATGAAAGAGACCTGAGACCTTGAGCATATATGACCATCATGCGCATCGCAATGATGGAACAAGGTTGATACAGAAGTGGCGAGTTGTTGAGCAACGGAAAGTAGCCATGTCTGAGATTCGTGCTATTGAGCTTTGTAGCCAAAAGCAACTGTTCAGCTTTCAGAGCAGAAGTATAAAAGCTTCATTATTTGTTTTGAGCTTCAAGGCATGAGCAGTTTTGAAGCCCTGAACTAACGATCTTAATTATTTTACAGCCGATTAAACATTTAGGGCACAATGGCAAAGTAATTGAGAATCGAACCCAGGCACTTCTGGAGTCAGCTAGGAATTGAACGAGCTTTATTTTGGCTCAACCGGTCGATAAACGGGTAACAAGTCTCTGATTTTGAGAACAACAGGGACAGCGTCGTGTTCTGATGTGGCCATATCAGAATGGGCGAGAGGTGCGCCGTGAGTCTGGTGCAAACG